TATATTTTAATTGCGAAGTAATTCTCATTAATAAATTTAAAAAATGGTGCAGTGTAATATTTGCAACAACTCTATCGCACGCGAAGATAAGAACAATATACACTGCGTTAAGTGTAAAATAATTTTTCATGGTAGGTGCGTCAACCTTAATGACACCGAAGCATTAAAAATAATTAAAAAAACATGGGTTTGCTCTAACTGCGAACAGGTGAAAAAACAAAATACCGAGCCGTCCCCCTCAGAAATACTTGCAGCAGTAAATCGTTTAGAAGCTACCCCGCTGCTTTGGTGACCAGTATAGGAGCAAGCTTGGGGATCAGGCTTAGTGTGGAGGACCTGGACAACGTACATCGCCTCAGAAGCCGAAAAGATGACTCGCGACCACCGCCTGTTATCGCACGCTTTGTCAGACAATCAATTAGAGATGATCTAATTACGAAAAGGAAAGTGAAGAGGGATTTCTCCACGCGGGATATCGGTTGGCAGGAAAATGACTGCCACCGAATTTATCTGGGTGAAGAGATGACTCGCACAAACAGACACCTCTATTGGCTAGCCCGGCAGAAGTGAGCGGCGGGAAAAATCAAATATACGTGGTTTGCTTCCGGAAAGGTGCGGTGTCGAAAAGAGGACGGACATAGAGTCATCCTGATAGAACAGGCCTCGGATCTAGATGTATTTGACTGACTACCTAGAAGCCGTCAACCCCTTAGCCTCATTAAAATAGTCTTACTTCTTCTCTTAGTGCTATCTCTACACCGTCACTCATCAATCTATTTATTTTCAAGTACATTCTCTTTATTTATTTTTAATGTTAATATTACTTTTTCTTCACTTAGTTTCATGTACGATAATCGCTTTTCTGTACTTTCTACTCGTTTTGTCTTCTCGCTACCAAACACTGACTGTTTCTCTCCAAATCCACTGTATGTCTAGTTCCCTAATCACATGTCAAGTTAACTCTCAATCACTTTCTGCCCATTATGACGAATTCCTGCAATACTTTACCCAAAACTTTTATCATATCATAGCAATATCCGAAACCTGGCTCAAACCTTATATTCCATCATCTTCAGTCTCCTTGCCTAATTACATCCTGCTCCGTCATGACCGGGTAAACCGGACTGGCGGTGGAGTAGCCATGTTTGTCCACAATAGCCTAAAGACCCGAATCCTCGATTGCTCCCCATCTTCCGATCATCCTCATGTAGAATACCTCTTAGTAGAAATTCTCAGTAATATTTCTCCTATCCTTTACGCCGTGGTATATCGCCCTCCTCTCGTGCCATTTGACCCGTCCTTCGAATCAACTCTATTCAACTTCGTTCCCCTCTATCCCAGAATAATTATCTCCGGTGACCTCAATACCAATTTCCTCTCAAACTCCAATGACAAATCCTATTTAGAAAATCTGTTTTTCTCACTTCACCTATTCATCGTTCCTTTTTCCTCCACCCACCACACCACCAGATCTGACACTTGGCTAGACTACTACATCATCGACTCAGCACAAAACCTCCTCTCCGCCTCTCAATTGCCAGTATCCTTTCTTTCATCTCATGATCTGATACAAATAACGTATAATATCCGCACTCCTCCAATCCATCCTCGAACTATCACTTTCCGCCAACTGGATACCCTTACTCGAGAAAAAATATTACCTGATCTAGTAACATTGGATTTGAATGGAATATATCATTGCTCCTCTGTCGACACCATGGTTGATATTCTCACCACCAATCTTCTCAATATACTCAATACCCACGCTCCTCTGAAAACCTCCACTTTCCGTCATCGTCCTGCTCCTTGGATGTGTCAGGAAATTAAGGATCTGCAGAAGAGACGCGACGCTGCACGCAGACGCTTCAGACGGACTAGGCTTGCAGATGATTATCAAATATTCAGAGTGCTTCGTAACACGACACAGACAAGGATCCGACAAGCGAAAGCGAACTACTTTCACGAAGCCCTTTCCTCAGCTCCTGATATCAAATCAAAATGGCTTCTACTTCGTAAGCTTTCCCTCTGTGAACCTTCTAGATCCCCTTCCTCAGTTTTCCCAATATCACCTGATGACCTAAACTCCCACTTTATATCGGTTTCCACCTCTTCTTTACCATCCCCTTCCGGCTTTTCTCCAGAGGTACCTTTTAACGACAATAATTTTTATTTTTCCGACATTTCTCCCACAGACCTTATTACCGTTATAATGAAATCCCGTTCCAATTCCGTAGGCCCAGATGGCATTCCTATCAAACTAATAAAATTATGTCTCCCTGAAATCCTCCCAGCACTCCTTTTCATCTACAATTTCTCCCTGCAGAATTCAATATTCCCGACCTCTTGGAAAAAAGCCATTGTCCTTCCTTTAAACAAAAAGCCTAATCCATCCTCTCCCGAAGATTTCCGCCCAATATCAATCCTTTCCAATCTTTCTAAACCCCTAGAAAAGTTAGTGCAATCCCAAGTTTCCAACTACCTTGAACAATCCAACCAACTCGATCCTCTCCAATCTGGCTTCCGTCCTGGCTACTCTACACAATCTGCTCTGATTAAAATTACTAGTGATATCCAGACTGCAATAGATGACAAAAAACTAACCATACTTATACTGCTTGATTTCTCCAAAGCTTTCGATTCCATTATCCATTCCATCCTTTTCAACAAACTAAAATCATTATCCTTCTCCAATAGTTCCATCTCTTGGTTCCAGTCTTTCCTCTCACAACGAACCCAAGCAGTTTCCATACCTAATCAACCTCTATCTGCCTACCTTCCTTTATCCTCAGGAGTTGCACAGGGTTCAAGCATGTCTCCTCTTCTTTTCAGTTCTTATATTAATGACCTAAATGATTCAATTATCCATTGTTCCCACCACCTTTATGCCGACGATTCTCAAATCTATTTATCCTTTTCTCCCGCTGAGTTATTGGTGGCATTTGCCAAAATTCAAGAAGATTTAGATCGAATTAGTGCCTGGGCCAACTTAAATGGATTAAGGCTAAATGCTGCCAAAACTCAGGCCATTCTCATTGGTTCCAAGCCCCTTCTTAGATCCCACACCAACTTTCCCTCACTCTATCTAAACAACCACCCCATCACCTTCTATCCCTTTGTTAAAAATTTAGGCTTTCTCATAGATCAAACCCTTTCCTGGAATCACCATATCTCTCATATATCCCGCCGTGCAATTTCTACCCTCAAACTATTCCATCACTTCCGCCATCTTCTACCCCAAAATACCCGTAGCAATCATATAATCATAACACTTGGTAAGAGATAGTACATGCAATTCCTACTATCGACGTAGGAATTTCAATACATACATTTTTTTTTATCTTTTTTTTTTTATTCAATTATAAGTAACTGTTTATTTTTATATATATATTCAAGTAAAGTTTTTTTTTTTTTTTTTATGAAATGAACTCATTGTATCTCTTTTTCGTTCTTCATTTCTCAAAGTGTATGTTTATGTTGTTCAACCCTTAAATATAATTTTGTTCATAGTTCAAGTGATTCGTTCATAGTTTTAATTGTTTTGTTCATAATTTTAAATGCTCTGTACATAGTTTTATCTGTTTGTATATAGCTTGTGCACCTAAGGTTTTCTTTACTTTTTATTTTATTTTATCAATTTTATTTATTGTTTCAACGTTCAGGCCAGTAATATTCTATTATTTTGTACATTATTGTTATTCTGAAGGGACTTAGTCCCAGAATAAAGTTTTTTTTTCTATCTATCTATCTATATAAGATAAACATTAGAAAGATTATCGGAAAAACAAAATGACGCCCGGGCTTAACCTCATAGAGAGGATTGGGGGGGGGGAGGATGTGAGGGTCACAAGATCGAAAAGGGGCGTTGCCTAGTGACGTCATACTAGACGTAAACCTGGTAAGTACCTGAATGAAAACAAGATGGCGCCGGGCACACTCAGCATGTTAGGGAAGAGCGGGGGGAGTAAACGTTGGAGGTACATGATCAAAAAGAGGCATGACTAGATGGTTAAGATAGGGATGAGGTAAAAGGCATGGCTTAGTGGTCACGTGACTGGCCACGTGGTGGTTAAGCCTGGTTGGAGGTCCTAAAAGGCAGCGTGTCGTTGTTCAAATTCAAATTTAAACTTCCCGCCATGGTGACGTTACTGAAATACTGGCTTCTGATTGGCTGCTATATTTGGTGCACCAGCTCCTCCAAACTTTATCTACTGACCTTAGTTTATAGTTTGGGGTGATTTTAGTGTGCTGTAATTAATGTGTGTGTGTCAGAGTACTGTTCCCCCAACATGAAGGGCGAGTCCTACCTGCAGTCCTATGACTGGTGGATGGAACCATCACCTCTCTACGCCAATATAAAAATTTCTTATAATAATATAAACGCTGAAGACAAAGTGGTATTTGTACCACAGGTTATTATTCTTAAGTTTTTTGTAGTTTGGAGAATATGATTATAATATATTGGATGCGAAATTAACAAGTTTTTATACAGTTTTCATTCTTGAAAAAATAATAATAATGATAATGAGGATACACTGGAAAATATTGTTATAACTCTATAATATCTATTACCTAATCTATTACTTCATACCGACAGCCACACCGCTAAAGTCTCCAAGACCAATTTTATTGGTAAGTACGGTTCAAAGCTTTTCAGTTCAATCATGGCCAAGCTCATATTTGGGAATACACAATGTTATTATTATTGATTATGTCATTCTTTTTTTTAGGAATGTAGTAGTATGTTTTACAATATTAGTAATATTTATATTATTACCTCAATTATAGTAATATTTATAATATTAGTAATATTTTCGTTAAAAATTTAATATAAAATTTAGTTCATGAAATAAAATATTTGTAGTTTTTTCGTCTTTGGGATAATTCTAGTTTTTGACCTTATATGCCTTTGCAATATGGCTTTCTGTATGAAACTGCAGTGATCACTGTAATAAAATTATTAAACAATAAGAAATACAATAGGAAAACAAAATGGGATTTAATGTAATTAATCAAACTTTTGTATATTTTTATTTAACAAAACACTGGTAAAACACATTTTAAGAAAATAAAAGATTGGAATTCGAATTATTGTATTGAACAAATAGTAAAGGGCATTGATAAGTTATGAGCATTTAATATCGTTCTGAAATAGAAATGAGGTACTCAAATGCAGGATAATTCTCACAAATATAATAATATTACTAAATAGTGTTATAATTATAAATACTTCATTGTTACATTATGTTATGTATTGTACAATACAAAATAATAATTTATAATACTAATTCTAATTATCACAAACAGTTCCTTTAATTACTTCAGAAACTGGTGCTTTAAGTACCCTAAAGTTTATTTGATCTTTATTTAAATTTCTGTAAATGAACTCTGGCAATCTATCCGTTAAGACCCAAAGATTACTATCTCGATCAACTTTCAAGTCGTTGGGGAACACCATAGTTTCGTCGTCCGAAACGACCAAAGTATTGGTGTTGATTGAATAGTCATTTGGAAACTTTTTAGAATTCCAACAGCCAACTCCGTTTTTGTTTACTTGAGTATAAAACATCACACCGCTCTTTTCATCAATAAATGATGTAGTTGCTTGTGAATATGGTCCCCTCGATCCTAACAATTTGAATTCATGGTAACTCTCTGAAGCAACTGTTTTGTTTTGAATTATTTCAGTAGAAACTGTAAACTCGTTTATGCTAGAAAGTGGGTGGAAATACATTGTTCTAAACCCATTTTCATTCAAGGGTGACAAGGAAATCCCGAACAGACCGTCAGTCCATTGAAAGTTGACTCCAGAAATGTTATAGTCACCATACAGAGGGTCGAAATGGAAATAGTGATGATTAATTCTATAGCTTTCATTTTCTTTATAGCTATAAACTACTAGGCAGTAGCTACCCAAATCGGGGAGATAAGCGAAAGCTTCATCGCATTTGTCTGGAGAAACGTCAACAACGATATTAGCAAAGAATGAATCATCTTTTATGTCAGAGGGTTTCAAGTGATACTCTCTAATTAACTCGTCAGTTGTCAAATTGAAGATCATAATTTTCGGTGGGGATAGAACTTTAGGAGATTCTACAATATTGATCAGTCCTGAGTCTATGACCCAAAGTCTGCCGCACTCATCGGCCCTGACACGGAATGTATTTCCTATTGTATAATTTTTCTCTTCGGTCACGTTGTTTGTCTCCCAGTTTGGGTATGGGTGTAGTAAAGGAGATTCTCCATCTGAAACGAAAACAAGAAAGTTAGGTAAACAATTAGGTATATTTAAATAAAATATATAAATTATAAATTATTTAAGTTAAAATATAAAGATTACACAAAATCGTAATCTTGTTAATTTAATCTTAAAAATTAATAAAAATCTTAATCGTAATCTTAAAAATTTACGAAACTATTGAATAAATTATAATAATATGTAATACTCTTCTTCACAGCGAATGGTTTTATGAACCCCATAAAATGTTCAAAAATTTTATAATATTAATGACTTCCGAATAACTGTCAGAAAGCAGACCGGCTTGGTGTAAGTATTTTGATTGAAACGCTTCTGTAGCATTTCCAAGTCTATTTCAACCATTTTCAAATCAAATTCAACATTTTTCAAGTCAAATTAAAACTTTTCCATTTCAAATTAAAGTTTCGATTTTTTGTATATTATTGTTTTTTTTTTTCGAAGTAAGAGTCATTTTCCAATATGAGGGTCTATTATTACACTCTCCTTTGTAGAGTTTTTCAAAATACTATTGATTTTATGTTAAACTTCGGATACCGATTTATTGTACCTATTCTGATTTATTCGATATAAGGGTGTATTCTTATGTTTCCGGAGCCGTAGATTTTTAAAATGACCTAAATTTTATGATTACGCCACTGCGTTTCGACTTATTTAAGTTTTTCGGATCTATTCGATATAAAGGTGTATTCTTATGCTTCCGGAGCCGTAGATTTTGAAATTAATCTCCATTTTAAGATTACGCCACTGCGTTTCAACTTACTCTCTCGGTGGAATCTGTCCACTAGGGAGCGCGTCCTCCGGGTGGAGGATGGGGGATCCCTCTTAGGAGGGATGGTCTGAATATGGAGGATAAAGACCCGTAAAAATAAGAATACACCCTCATATCGAATAAATCCGAAAAACTTAAATAAGTCGAAACGCAGTGGCGTAATCTTAAAATGGAGGTCACTTTTAAAATTTACGGCCCCGGAAACATATAAGTAGACCCTTATATCAAATAAATATGAAAATCTAAATAAATTGAAACGCAGTGGCGTAATCTTAAAATGGAGGTTATAAAACTACTCATACGATAACTGACCCATACATCGAAAAATCAAAAATAATTAAATAAATAAAAAAAGGTTGAATTTGAAATGGAATAGGTTGAATTTGACTTGGAAAAAGTTTAATTTGATTTGGAAAAGGTTGAATTTGACTTGATAATGCTATATATAACGAACAGCAGTAAACCAGTGACACTCATATTGACTGAAGTTATTGATCTTCCAATAACGAATGGTTGAATAATAGAAGCTTTTACCTAATGCTGAAAACTTACAGACACATAAAACCTCTTGTTGAATACAATAACAACAAACGGATGGTGGAGGAGGTGCTAAGATGCTTGTGTAATTTAGAAATGATTTGATTTAAAATACTTTTATTTTGAAAATAAAAAGACATTATAAAAAATCAAGTAAAAATGAAAATATCAGATAACACATCTAGCAACACGAGCTCGAATGTGGGGCTTTCTGCAAGCTTTGTTTGATTTGTAATTTTGACGGATTTGCTACAAATACTGGGAAACTTACAAGAGCCATGCACATCTGCTCTTTGACAAGCTCGAACTCATCATGATTTGGGTATTGTATCATAAGCGGCTTAGTATAAATCGATTATATACATACCTTGGGCCTACAATAATAATAGTGTGCTTATTTATGTTTAAGGATTTGTTAATTCAAATTTCTAAGAATTTATGTTAATTTATGGTTGTGCAGGATCATAAACATAGGGGACTATTAAATATATTGATGGGGAGGAATTGAAACATTTCAACCATGAGGGAGAACGATCCCCATCTCATATGGATGGAGGCCTACCTTGAATACAGAGGTGGTTGTTTAAGGTCTTAAAATATTACAAGTAGCTCAATGCCATTTGTTTTCTTGTTTAATATCATCATATTGTTACAGCGTGTCTTAGTTCGGCAAGAATTAATATTAATATATTTTAATATTCATATTACAGGCGTTTGATAGAGTTTGGCATCCGGGACTGATACACAAACTCCGTAAATTCCTACCACCTATATACTTCCTCATTATCAGTTCCTACTTACTGACAGATACTTCAAAGTAAATCATAACAATGCTTATTTATCTCTTTTTACTCAGTTTGCCGGAGTTCCTCAAGGTAGTATCCTAGGTCCTATCCTTTAAACATTTTATACAGCTGATATCCCAACCCAATCTAACACTGATATCACCACCTATGCCGATGACACGTGTATCCTATAAGTTAATAACGATCCATCTATTGCATCCCAAACTTTTCAATCACACATCACAAGTCTTGAAAAATGGTGTCAACACTGGAGGATTAAAATAAATTCCAATAAATCCCATCAAATTACCTTTAATCTTCGTCGTAAACCTATGACTTCCTGTCCTACAGTATCATTCAACAATAGCTCACTTATCCCTGTTGAACAAATCACTTGGAACCCCCATTCCAGACCGACGTTTTCGACTTCTGCAGCACTTACTAAACAAACGCTCTAAATTTCTAACTATTTACAAAAGACTCGTATATATTACTATAATAAGGCCTATTTGGACTTACGGGCTCGAGCTTTGGGGCTCTACTAAACCATCAAATCCCTCTCGTACCCAATCGCTACAATCCAAAATCCTTCATAAAATACTCAATGCTTCCTACTTTGTCACAAATAAAATCATCCATAACGATCTTAATTTACCATATGTTTCCGATTTAGCTCAATCCAGATACCTATCCTTCCATAATAAACTTTTGAACCATCCCTCTTGTTTCCAACCTTGCTTCCTCTTCTATTCCTGATAACCCTCCGATGCGTCTGAAAAGAAGATGGCCTCGGGACATTCTAATATAGAAATATAATTGGAGTGCTAGCAATAGGTAGTTTCTCTTCATGTTGTATAAAAAAAACATTCATATTATAATTAAATTCATATGGCTCGAGTCTTTGTCATGTTAATTGTCACAAAGTTATCGACGTTTCACAATATTATCAGAACTACTATCTTACTCTTTCGTCTTCTTCATGTTGATGAATCGACATAATGTGCCAAGTGCTGAGTTCAATGCAATTGCTTGCTTAAATACCCTTAATGATTATGGATGACTGAGGCACGTTAAGGCGCTAAGAATTACACAGAATGCAGGAAAAGATAAATTATTTTGTAATAATTGCATTAAATAATATTGTTCGACCAATAAGATTGTAGTTGGCTAATGCTAGTGATTAAATTTGACTGAAAACGAATCTTAATAAAAAAAAATATATATTTAATAGTGAATTTCGACTTGGATATTTCATAGTGTTAACGGAATATTAATTAAATATAATATTCAATAAATTATTACCTGTAACTTTGACGTAGTTGAGAGTGGATGGTACACCTGACTTCCACCTGGGGACGGTGATAAATACTCTGTCCTTCCAAATTTCGATACCCAGCGGCATGTTGTTCTCTTTTTTGAATTCTCCAGATGCAATAGACGCATTCCTTGTTTGTTCATCGGGGAAAGCGAAGTCAATCTGATTCCATTTGAATATTTCCTTCAGTTTATCATTCTTAGCCTCGATGAGGACTAATAACGATATAAGTATAAGACCTGCTTGCCACATCCTGAAATACATACACATCCTGTAATCAGTTATATAATAATAACCCTGTTATATGAAATAGTTTATAATAAAAATCACTAATTGAAAAGAACAAATTATTGGCAATGAAGAGGTTATAGTTGATCTAGATGAAACAGTTTGGTGTATACCATATTTTCGGCCAGCGTTGTAAGCTTTAATCAGGGTTGACTCGTCGACAAAAATTAAACGAATCTTTCGTTTGTACAACGAACCGGTAAACTTTTCACCAAACAAAATAAGACAAGGTACATTTGTTGGCTATGGTCTGCTTTAATATAGCCTTGTTCTGTCCTTACAATATCTGAATTGTAGAAAAGTTTTTAATTTATTATTTGAAAGATCTGAGGCTTTATTGGAACCTTTCAATCAAGTCTTCAATTACAACAATTCTTCCTTATTATTTGACTTATTACTTATTATTAATAGCCATCACTTCTATACACAGGCGGATTTACGGGGGGGGGGGGCTTTCGGGCCGAAGCCCCCCTCCCCCAAAAAACGGTAAAATATAACCATATTTTATAGAAAAAAATACTGAAAACTATCTCTTAAAGTATTATTGCTCGTGTAATTACATTTAATAGGACTTCAAGAATCACTTAAACACCATTTCATATAGGTAGTTCATTTCTTTCTTCTTTTTTTAAAAAATTAACTATCGTTATATACATGAATGTCTATGTTTATTGTATATACTTTTGATTATTATTTTGTTCTATTTATTTTATTTTTTTGTACATATGGTGTGAATGTAATCCTACCTCACTATAACCAATGTCCAACAGACAGATTGTTATAATACTCAATAAAGAAATTTAAAAAAAATATACATGAAAAAAAATCTTTCGGGCTGAAGCCCCCCTCCCCAAAAATTAAATCCTGAATCCGCTAGTGCTTCTATATATTACTTCCATTTACCTATATGTCAAGTTGAATTCATTGCGAATACTTTTTTTTTCGGACCGTGCTGCTTATTCTACGTTATATCCTACATATTATTTCTCAAAGGTTTTTTTTTTTTTTGTTTTTTTAGTACCAGAAAAACTCCCTTGAGTAAAAAATAAAAAACACATGCATTCGTAAATTCTTTTTCAAATCCAACGATCATTTTGAAGATTTCCTTCAGGTGCAAAAAATAAGTACATCCCCAGAAAAATAAGAAAAATTAGAAAGAATAGGAACTTTATTTGTGCCGGACTGGAAAAGTATACAATTTATGGTTATATTCCCTACAAAATAAAATAATAATTAAAAAAAAAATCTGAATGGCACCATAATTAGCAAAGATACTATCATTTGTAATTTTTAAACATGTTTCGGTTTATCATTTTGAAGGAAACATAGTAATCGACCGAGGAAAAGAAAATGAATGGCTCTATCTCATAATTTTATTTACTTATATTCTTGCCATTTGTATGTTGCACCGACCAATATACTATGCGAATCATTCATAAGAGTCAGCTAGTATAATTTATTTATATATTTGTTAATAGTGGCAGCTGTAGAACCGTTATGTAAACATAAAAATAAAAAATATGTAACTATAAATACTGGTAATATGATCTTTATATTAAGTGCTTGCTTGCTACTGAACTATTTTAGGCCAATGTTGGAATATCTGTAAAGCCGAACATTTCGTGGAAGAACTGTGAATTGATAAATTCCTAATCTTTTAACAGGATTGATGTTAAGCCAGTTAGAAATAATATTTTATGTAATCGTCGGTATTTACATATTTTGTTGTTATATTTGAGACAGTCAATCGTAAAACATGGTACTGTAATTGAAGTGTTAAGCAACATTATGGTTGATTTTATAAGTCGTTTTATAGAATCTCTAGAACATTGGTTGAAATTATGAGTCATGTTTATATTAAAATATCCACAGTGATGGTTGATCGAAGGTACAGCATTGCTAATAAAAAAAATTATAGCATTGTAAATTTATTTGTCATTGAACATGTTTTGTGACCGAGTGTCTCCTTTATTTATTTCAAAGGATCTTAACGCTACCATTTCTGTTAAGAAAATTTTCTCTAAACTACATAAAACATGATAATATCTGCATTGGCCCAGAAGCCTCCTAGATAGGGGGAAAAATTAAAGGGCAACTAATCTTTAAGTGTGCTAGAGTGGGATTTCAAAATATGTCTATTGCAATTATCAATCCATTAGGGTCCCTAATTTCTAGAACTTGTGGGAGATTGAAATATTTCTGAATAAATAAGTTATAAAAAAAATCTAGAACAACGTATTAAATACTTTTAGGGTAAGATTTCTCCTTTTTCTACTTGGTATAATAATTTATTAGAATCATGGTTAAAAACAGATAAAACACTAAGCAGTGAAATATTGTTGAAAACATATTCAACTTTTTTGAAGTCATGTTCTATTTTTTTCCATTTCAAGTTCAACTTGATATTTATTTTAAAGTTTTGGAATTTTTCAATAAAAAGATCTATTTGGTTATTTATAATTTTTAATTTTAAAGTCCTCGCGCGGGCTCATTACCGCGTATGGGGAGCGTCCCACGGGTGGCGGATGTGGGGATGGTCGGTGGAAATTTCTTGGAAGTTCCTCCCGGCTAAGTCCGATGGACTCGCTGACCAACAATGAGAGGGGCCCTCCAGACTTGCTGGAGGGAGGGGACCTCCAGACTTGCTGGAGGGTGTGACGTAAGATTGAACGCCCTACTCACATATCTTTAGTTCACCAAACACCACAGAAAGTCATGGATCTCCTTAAGGTAAAACGCTCATTATCCGGAGGTAAACTAGTCCCCCGTTCGGGTCTCCGGGTGGGGACTGCTTTAGGGGATTCATGGCGCAAGTTGAAATATAGGGATTTAAATATTGGTACGTGGAACGTAAGGAGTTTAAACACAGCAGGGGGGCTAAAATCGGTCGCGAATGAGGTAAATGGGTACAATTTGGATGTCGTGGCTCTGCAAGAGGTTCGCTGGCCAGGGGAGGGCTCGATGAGGGAAGGGAAGTACACTATTTGGTACGGAGGAAGCGAGAATCATTGTTTAGGTACCGGGTTTCTAATTAGGCGTAGATTACTATCCGCTTTGAGGGACGTACAATTCTTTAGTGATAGAATTTCGGTAGCTACATTTCAGGGACGTTGGTTTAAAATCGCATTAATAAACATACATTGTCCGACCGAAGACAGTGACGATGAAGTCAAAAGTGAATTTTACGATAAACTCGAATGGGTTTATGATAAACTACCACGAAACTACATGAAAATAATTGTAGGTGACGCGAACGCAAAGGTAGGAAAGGAAGAAGTTTATATTCCGACGATTGGTAAAGAAAGTTTGCACGAATATAGTAATGATAATGGGATCCGTCTGATAAACTTTGCCATCTCGAAAAACCTGATAATTAAAAGTACGACGTTTAAACATAAGGATATTCATAAATATACTTGGACATCACCGGATTCGCAAACACGAAATCAAATCGATCATGTCTTGATACAACACAGCTGGCAAAGCAGTATAATTAATGTACGGTCTTATCGCGGAGCAGAATGTGGGTCGGATCATGAATTAGTAATCGCGAAACTTCGACAAAAACTTAATATAAAAAAGAGAAAAGAAAACCGTTTCGATTTTGAGAATTTTAATTTGGAAAAATTAAAAAATCCATCAATTAGAAACCAATTCGAGCTAGAAGTTAAGAATAGGTTTGAAGCTTTAGAGCTTCCTGACGAGGACCACGAGGATATTGACAAGTTATGGATAGAGATCAGAGATAATATTAAAGCGGTCGGTAACTCGTGTCTAGGAAAAAAGGAAAATAAGAATAACAAATCGTGGTTTGATGAAGATTGCTTAAACATGTGCGAAAAAAGAAAAGCCCCTAAATTAAAAGCTCTAAATAATCCTAGCGAAGACAATCTGGAATACTTCCGAATCTCAAAGAACGAAACGACAAAATTGCTCAAAAATAAAAAAAGGGAGTATCTTAAAAATAAAATAATTGAAATAGAAAATAATAGAATCGAAAATAACGTAAGAGACATGTACAAAGGTATAAACAGATCACGTAAATATGTAGGGCCCGTAACGTCTGGAATTAGGATGATAATAACAATATTCTGACCGATCCGGTTGACATATTGAATAAGTTTAAGGACCACTTTGACAATATTTTAAATACGGGAAATTATGATCTGTGTCCTCCTTCTGAGTACCAGAGTGCTGAACCATTAATAGAAGGACCAAGTAAAGAGGAAGTTGAAGTAGCTATCGGAAAATTAAAATCATATAAAGCAGCGGGAATCGATAATATTCCTACTGAACTAATTAAGGCATGCGGGGAAGCTGGAGTTTCTAAAATACATCGGTTGGTTAAAAAGATCTGGGTGAACGAGAAATTACCTGAAGAATGGAAAGAATCTATTCTTATTCCGATTCACAAAAAGGGTCCGAGGACGGATTGTAATAACTATCGAGGAATTTCACTCCTTCCGGTATGTTATAAAATATTCACTTCAATCTTAACCAGTCGAATCACAGAATACGCCGAGGAAATTATCGGAGACTACCAATGCGGATTTAGACGGAATCGTTCGACTATTGATCAAATATTTTCTTTACGGCAAATATTAAAGAAAAAATTGGAGTATAACGGTATTGTTCACCAGCTGTATATAGATTTTAAAAAGGCTTACGATTCTATTGACCGCCAGAAACTGTATAATATTCTAATCGAGCAGGGGATTCCAAAAAAACTAGTAAATCTAGTCAGGATGTGCTTGACGGAGACACTCAATAAAGTTAGAATCGGTAATAATTTGTCCGAAAAATTTGAGGTTCGTTCGGGCTTAAAACAGAGGGATTCTCTTTCGCCTGTCCTGTTCAATTTGGCATTAGAATATGCCATTAGGGAGGTAATGCGAACCGAGAAAGGGTTGGATCTGGGAGGGACAACATCCGTGCTGGGCTATGCTGATGATCTGGTACTGTTAA